TGGGAGAGCCCTTTCCTCTCATCCATATTCCCTATCTCTGGCATGAATTTAGAAATGTTGGCACACAAAACTGTAGATCAGTCTTCACAGCCCACACAATCTAAATGAAATTGGGCCCAATGGACACTTTTGCAAAGGCCAACCAGCACAAAGACATTCTCAGAAAGCCTAATGTATAGTAATTATTCTGAGGTCAACTTAACTCTTGTCTTATCAAAATGCAAAATGTCTCAATGTGTACATTAAAAAAGTCTTAGTCAGTAGTTCTAATTCAGTAAGTGGTTATAGGGCCACTTCTTTATCCTGAGCGTGACACAGGATGCTCAGAACAAGCAGGAGATAGGAAAGAAGTATATAGTCTCCAGGAGCTAATAATCTAGTTACTTAAAACATACTTACCGAACTTTGACTAAATTTTTAAAACATTAGAAGATTGAAAACAAAACAAAAACAAATCCTTACCTTTGTATAATAAATAATCCTGATCCCCCAAAGCACAATTTAACCTTAGAAGTTTGCTGTAAAAAGGGGGTGGGGGGTGTTCTTGCTCATTTTTAGTGTCTGGTTCAAGGATCTCTGTTATGAAGGGGGGAAACACCTTTTAGGTTTTTACTTCTTTTTAATATTATGTCCAAATAATTCATTCAATTAGAAGTGAATGTATACACAGAGGATCTTTTTTGCTTTGCTTTAATAACCCATGATTACTCAAAATCTAATGAGTTAATGTCAGTCTGACTCCAGTTTAAAATGACAATATAGGAAAGTACTGTCTCCCACTATAGGTATTAGGCTTCTAGAAATGATTGGGGAAAAAAGGCCATGGAACCACTTACAGACATTTAACAAAACAGATCAAATCTCTTTTCTCTCTTGCTAAAACATTTTCTCAAACTGTTTATCAAATAGTACTTTCCGTATCTATCCCCTTCTATAAATCACCCTCCCAACACACCAAAAACATTTGATCTTGAACTTTTAAGTCTCACTCTTTTGTGCTGCATGCATCTGTGAATCCTCCTGTTAGGACAAGAAATCCCACGCTACTCAATTATTTTCACTCAATAAGCTTAAGAGTCAGAATTTTGTATAAAAAAAGTTCAAAATATATTGTAATTTGAAATTAACCAAGTCTTTTGGCTAAAGAACAGTGATCCCCAGAGTACTGTCCATTCCAGAGAGACATTCTGCACTCTGTTGGTTTTCTTTCTCATCATATCATATGCTCACTAATAGCCATACACAAACAGTAAAAATCAAGGGCAGAATAAATAAGATGTTTTTAGCCTAAGTAGTGCTTTACATAAAATTATAAACTGTCACATAAAGAATCACCTCAACACCATAACATACAGTCAAGAAGTCTTCAGATTATCTGAGATTTAATATGAACACCAATTTAAAATCTCTTGAGATAAGTTCAAGGTAACAAAGTACTATATATTGCTAATGATTTTCTCCTTTATAAAAACATGCTCTTACTCCCAAATGATATAGGAACCCAATCTCTTTCATTGATAAATTAAAGAGGATCCAAATCTTGGAAGCAGGCAAAACATCCAGTGCTTTAATACCACAAACTCATCCACTCCTAATGAGATTCTATCCTTTATGATACCTCACAGCAGAAGACCTAAAAATAGTTGGGATTCAAAGTATATCTGAATTTGAACTGTTTTGATATTTTTTTCTATCCCATTTACTTGATTATTAACTGATTCCCAACCAAACTCTTTTAATAAAGGCTTTCTGAAAGAACTTCATTGCCAATATTATTATTATTATTACATGGGGTAAATAAATTAGTGACAGCAAGTGTTCAATTTCACAAAATCAATCAGTGGCAGAGACTAAGAAAGATTCTAAGACTCTGACTCAGAACAATCTGCTTAATCACAAATAACAAGGGTAAACACAATCTTTTCCAAGCCTCACTATACTCTAGTACCCATTTTTTTCCTCCTCATATCATTTACATAGGGTCTCATCAGCTATGTGGATTAATAGACTCTCCCGTGATATAGCAAAGATAAACTCGGATCCTTACCGTGGCTAAGTTTACTGGTTACTGTTGCTTTTCTCTATTCTAAGCTCTCTGCTGCTCCTAATACCTGATCTGCTTGGGGACAATCTAAAAGCAGCTGTTTTTCTAAGATCTGTCCATCTATATAATTCTCTGGTGTGTAAGAATGTGGCAGGGGGGAGGAGTAAATACACTGATAAGTCTTTTAGGCTTATCAGTAGTAGCACTCAGTAGGACAGAACTTTAATCTATGCAGAGAATTCCTTCTGGCCATTTCTTTTTTTAAAAAAAGGAATTGTGTGTGTGTTACAAAAATAAAATCCAAAAATCCTAAGTAAATGAGAAAAGCATGAAAACAAGGAAATAGAAGGTAATTACTCCACTGTATTGATCCTAGTTTAAAAAAAAAATACACATTATTTGCAAACCCTGGAATACACAATTGTCACAAGAAAGCATTTCAGAGCAAAATGTGCTGCAATATGCTACTGTGATTAAAAGCCATGCAATCTGAAAGACCTCTGTAACAAAAATAAAATGACTAGGAAAACAGCTATTTACACACTTCTCTAAAAAGAAAGGCTGCAATTTTGTGATAGTTACACAAAGGGAGGTGTGACTTTCACATTTACCTAGTATTAAAACATATTTTCATCCACAGGTATTTAATAACATTCAAAGAAATTGCACAAGGTTTAATACCAAGAATAAACTATGATTTTATGATACATGTGTTTTAAGCCTAAACCCATCACAACACATACTAAGGGTAATCATTTGGTACACACTCCCTAAACAGAAAAGATCCTCGCAGTTTTTCTTGTACTTTAGTTTTTTAAATTATACAAATACTACCAGACCCAAATGAGAGAATAAGGAGCAGCAATGAAGTACACCGTATGTTCCCATTGTAGGCTGAGTCCTGGTCTTTGTTCCAATATTCTAGAGCCACTGGAAGGAAAGCTAAGTATCCATCCATTAAAACGTTTTTACATTATTGCTGGCAAAGTTACACTTCTGACAGGTCTAGTCATCTTGATGATTCCTGTCTGCATTTGCTTCCTTAATACAAATCTCTTTCAATTTTAGGAACCTGCAGTAAACCACCCTGGAAAACAGGTCGGTAGCAGGACAATCTGATAAAACAACGTACAGGGTAGACACTGAAGAAGAATGCAAAGTTATTTTCCTAGTGAAAGTGTTCTGAAGTAATTCTATATCAATGACAATTTTTTTTAACCAGCTACGCACCTATCCAGATATCATCCACCTTATCCTAAATTAGCAGAGTTTCCCTCAATCTTAAGATCTCCCAGAACAGTTTTAATAGTATAACTCACACCAAAAACACTAACCACGCCCTTTAAAACCAGAATCAAGCCACCTTTTGCTTTTTCTCCCCCTACAAAGTCCCAAATGTACATCATTCATCTAAAAGGGTTCGCACCAGTTCCCTAACCCGAGTCAGAGACTCTAGCTGTGCCCTGACAGAATTCCTATTAGAAGACGCTTTCTCCCGGGCAGTGTGAGGACGCCCAGAAGAGGCACCCACGCTTACCTCCCACAGACCTGCAACCCCTGGCGGGATGCTGGAGCTGATGCTCGGAGGACTGCGCTCCGCTCGGCTCGTGCTCCTGCCTCTCGCCTCTCTCGGGAAACTAGAGTCCAGACTGCGCCTCCGGCTGCTTACAGGGACCCAAGCTCCGCCTCCCCCTCCTCTAGTTGGCGAATTCGGCAGCTGTTGCTCCTCCCCCTGCTGTTCCTGCTGCTGCCCCGGCTGGTGGCGGCGGGAAGCTGCTGCCCTAGTACCTTCCCGCTCCCTGCACTTCTGCAGCTGTTCTGCCGCTTCTCTTCCCCTGGGGACTCCTCTCTCCTCAGTCGGTAGCCTCACACCTGGAGCTGCCTCCTGCTCCACCCGGGCGCCTCCAACAGAAACCCAGGCTCACACTATCCCTTCCCGACGACCCTCAGGTCTGGCCGCCTGGTGTGCCTGGGGCTTGTCCGCTTTCAGGGAAGCTGCTCCTCCGGCCGGGACACATCCCCACACCGCTCGCTCTCTCTACGCCAGCGATTCCCCCCGATGCTTCCTCCCCCTGGTGCAGCGTCCACAGCTCAGCCTCCCCACGTTACCCGCCTCAAGCTCTCCCCCCAACGCCCTTCCTTCCTCTGCTCTGCTAGCCCGCCCCCACAATGGGTGAGTCGCCGACAGGGCCGACCCAGCACCCTGATTGGTGCAGGTGAGAGCTGACCCCTCCCTTCCTCCTCCTTTCGAACACCCTCTCTCTCGGTCTCACCTCCTCCCGCAAAGGCAGGGAACTCTCTTACTATTGGCTAGAAGTGTCCCCACCCATCGCCTTAGGCTCTACCGCACGGCCTGCCGGGAATTGTAGTCTTACATGTGCAGAGATTGCCGACGACGGCTGCGAGTGGGACTACGAGTCCCCATAGGCCCCTGCGCGACTCCGGCTGGGCAGGATTCCGGACAACGCCTGGTTCCTCTCGGGTCCTTCCGGCGTCGCCGGAGTGAATTGATCCGGGAGTTGAAGAGGGCTCCAGAGGTGGGAAGTGAAGTCAGTGCCTCAGTTGCCGGTAAGGTGTGGCTGTACTGTCCCAGTCTCTGTAGTCCCGAGCGGAGCAGAAGAGGTGTGGGGTCACACAGGGGCCGTGGCTGAGGCACTCGGGCTTGGTTCTGGCAGGCGGAGCGGACGGGGCTGGGAACGGGGCCCTATGGGCGTAAGCGAGGTTACCCTACGCGAGTGGCGTAAAGCGGGTTTGTAAGTGCTGCCTGCCCTGCTCGGGCCTGAACGCCTCCAGGAAGTCTCCTCTGGGTGGGGGCGGGAGGGGAAGGGCGAGGTTGGCCTCTGGTGCCCCTGGAGAAGGGAGAGGGCGGATGTGTCTGGGGTGGGGTCCTCCGAAGGTGTGGCTTGGGGCGGGGAGATGTGGCTGCTGTTTTCCCCCTGCTTTAGAAGTAGGATAGGGAAGGAGTGGAGGAGGGAAGGGGCGCTTGGGAGTCTGCTCTTGGGGTGACTCAGGTTATGCCCTTTGAAAGAAGAGAACTGTAAAGGAAGAGTCAAATGTTGACAGAGATCTGCGGATTCAGTTCCAGTTTCATGATGTGGCCCTTCTGAGGAGGTAATTTTGCCTCTAAGCAGAAAACCTTAACCTTCTTAGGTGTAATTCCAGAGGTATCTTTATACCCGTTCTGTTTTTAAAGACACTGTTTTCGGATGCCTGTGAGAAACTGAGGGGATAAGTGACGTGCCCAAGGTCACACACGTAGGGACTGATTTGAATCTAATCTAATTGTAATCCAGTTTCTGAATCAGGGCTGTCGCACCAGAAATAAAGAATAGGGAGGTTGGTGGTTTTTTGAAGTGAGTGGGGGAAATTGCAAAGTAATGCATTTTATGTATTTCTAAGAAGCCGTTTGTGAGGTAAAGAGTTTTTTGAGTTGGAGAAATTCCTCAATAAAACAAGGACACACACTAACTTTTTGGAACAATAAGTGAGTTTCAGCCTACCTATTACGGGTATACTAAGTGACGGACTTGTACCACCATTTCAAACGGTAGATAATGAGCTAGGAGAATGTAAAAAAAATATATCCCATCCTTACATTTAAAAGGTGTTCCTTTTCCTCCCTACCTTAGGACTGACGGTTTTTCCTATGGTTTTGTAAAACTGACAACAGTAGTATCGGAATTCTTTCACAAAACTTATTTTACACGTTTTTCAAGTAATAATAGTATCAAGAGAGTTTGGTGTGCTCATTACTAGAAAAGAAGTTACGTTGCATTTCTTGGACGTAACATCACATTTTGTTGATTTCTATTTGCTTTTCCCCTTATTTTCTTGACTCCAGTGTGTGTGTGTATTTATGTGTAAAATCATCAAGTGCCTACTTTATTTTTCTTAGGATTATAAATGACTTTTAATTCATCCTATTTTCACTAAAGAATGGGAAAATTGGATATTTATATTTTATATTGAGCAGAAAGCAGTATTCTTGTAACTTAACGGTCTTATCCTTTATAATTGTTAGTGTGACCATTTATAGCTCATGAATATTACTGGATCTTTAACAGAATTTTAGGTGTGTTTTTTGACATCAGGATTTCTTTTGTGATAAGTTTATATACAATAATTCAGTATCTGCTGATAGCTAGTAGTTAATCCTGGTTTACTGTTGTATAAGTTGACCATTGAAATATGCTGCTTTTTGAATGTACTCAGCAAATATTAACAGTGTTTAACTTTTGAATGCAAAAACGCTTTCTAGGATCATATATTGTATATTGGTCCCCTATGATTGAAGTTAAGATGGTCTGGAGATTAATATAACCTTTAAAATAGAGGTATGATATTATAGAATGAAGTAGGAAGTATAGGAGTAATGTAGCACCATGAGTAATGCAGTACACAAGGAAGGAAGACCAGTTAAACAAAATTATGTGGGGATAACTGGCTCCATGCTATATTATAGGAGGAAGTGGTAGTTTACATAGAGTGTAAACTGAACATGAGTTAGTGATAGTAAAGCAAGAATGTTAATGTGTTTTCTAGATGGCAGTGTAGGCATTTCCTTTTTGTTGGAAGTGTGAGATGAGTTCTCTAACTTTGGCATGCAGCTATGAGGTGGTGGAATGAGCTTTTGAATTAAGAGTCAGGAAAATTTGGAAATAAGTAAAATTAATTGAATGCATTTGTTCAGTGTGTGTTAGTTTTTGTCCTGGGTTCAGTTCTATCATTACTCTTCATCTCTGAGGCCCATTATAGTTTTGGTATTTCATCTGTATTGTAAAATGATGGAGCAAGGTTGTTACTGTATTTACTATCTTTAAGTTACAGTGTGGTCACTTTGGATCTCTGCACATTGAAGAATTTAGGGTTCCCAGAGTTATGTGAATACTTGTATTTTTATAATAGTTAGCAGTTCACCAGTATCCACATTTGTTCTCATTTTTGGTTTTGCAGAAGCCTTGTGTCAGCTTTTGGACATCATCTCTTACAGGACTTAGGATGTCTCCCACATGCATCTATCTTTGAGGGTAGAAGGTCATGAGAACAGGATTCTGAATTATCATTGCATTCCTAGTAGGTAAAATAATTGAGTACCGGTTTACACAGAGAATGAAAATGTTCAAATTGGTCAAGTGTAAGGTCATGAAACTAGTGACTGGTGGGATTAAGGCATAAGCCAGGTCTTCTGACTGTAGATCTTCCTATTATAGAATAAAGACTCAGTTCCCCAAATTATTTATTTTACATGAGAAAAGGACTTAAAATGACTTAAGTATTCAAATTCTTTTACCCTCATACACTTTTTAATGCTGACAGTTTATTCTTTGCCTCCTTTCCAGCTCTCCACACTTATTACCAACCTTTCTTACTTACTGCACCTTTCATTACTACATACATAAGTTTCTTCCTGACTTGGGAACCTTTGTACATCATGTTCCATCTCCCTGCGGGCTGCTCCTTGTCTCCTTCCTAAATCTGATGAACTCCTAGTTATTTGCAGATCTCAGTTTAAATGTCATTCCTCAGGGGAACCTTTCCTGACCTTCTTTGACTCTTCCTTCCTAAAACTAGAACTTACTATAGTACGTTCCTAGTGTATCTTCACCAGCTTTGTACATCTTTGTATCATCATCACAATAGGAACTTAATTATTTCTTATTTGATAAATGTCTGTCTCTCTCACTAGACTATAAGCTACCTAGGTAGGACCCTCTCATTTGTCATGTGCTTTACCTCATTACTTACACAGTATCTGGCACAAAGGAAGTTTTCAGTAAATACTTGCTGAAAGTGAGTAAATGATTGAATGAATGAGTGCATTCATGCACAGTGTCTCCAGCACTGCTAGGGACAGAAGTACAGAAATAAGTAAAACAGACTTGCTTTCCACCCTTAGATGAAAGGACTTATGACAGAAGTTTTATAATATAAATTGTAGAAAGATGTTTGTTCTTTTTGGAGGTCTCTAAGATCAGGATAGATTGTTTTCTATAGGGAAATGAAAAAGGAGTCATTTTCTGTTACAGCAGACTTTGTATGTAACACAGCATTTTGGAGACCTTATCACTGTCCTGCTTTTTGCAAGCAACATTCATTATAACAAAATACAGATGTGGAGGAAACAAACTTTTAATGGATTCTATACTTCCCTAATGTGATCTCATTTTGTCCTGAACAGAATTCATGCTTTTTTTCTTTTTTCTTTGTTGTTTCATTTTGTTTTTTAACCATGGTATCTTCTTTTGAATTTTACTTTTAATATCATCTGCTTTAGATAAGGTGACTTTGTAAAATGGAGTCATGCTTGTTTCAAAGCTTATATTTTGGGCTTCTTGAAAATTTTCCTGTTTCACTGGGTCTTAAGGTAATACCGTATTTGCTTTAAACTTAGATACTTATGAGACTAAAATGATCATTATTTTAAAAACATGCAAACCAAATTTCAGGGATAAATATGTGTTAGAGTTTGGTCGTGAAAACAAATTCATTCATCCTTTGCAGTACTATAATAATCACATAGAATAAATTGAACAGCTCTGAGTTGCTATAACCTTATATGCTTTCATGAATTTACCAATTCCCTCTCTCACGAGAGATTGTCAAAAAATGATTGCTGGCATTTGGTTTTAAAATTTGATAATACTCCCAGTTTTTATTAATAATTGTAAGTCTTTGATAAGTCCTAAACTTACTTTTTTTTAAAAAAGTCAGTTTTTATGTTTTTATTTTTTTATGATCTTTTTTACCCAAGAAATTCATATTTACCTAGTATAACTAGTATATGGAGAACAAATCTAAAGTACTGCTTCTTACATGTTTTTGGATTATTAGGGTTATTATAATAGGTAATGTTACTAAGAGTTTTAAGCTAATTTCATGGTAAATGAGAAGTTAAGTAGTGTGAGGGTTTTTTTTTTGCATATATTACTGCATTTGAAATGTTATAGAAAGTTGCAGTCTTAAATATTGATTTTTGGGGGGCACACACACGGTGTAACCAATGAAAACACCTTTATTGCAGCATTTAGAAATAATTTATTTGCAGAAAGATAAACAATGTAATTTGGTGGTCCATTTTTGTAGGAAAATGAAAAATTCAGTTTTTAAATTTTAGCTACAAAATTAATTGCATCTTTGATGTAGTGTAGTATTACAATCTTATTTTCAAAATCACCCTTATATTTTTGGTTTGAATAGCCTTTTTTTTTTTTAACTACTCAAAAAGTGAGTTGAATCTATTCAGTCTTAATTTTACTTTTCTATGGTTGCTTAGAATTAATTAATTGTTGCTATTTAAAAGAAAGAAAAAAGAGGATTTTATCAGCAAGCTTATGAATTACTGGGTAACAGCAGTGCAACATATTAAATGGTAGTCACTACTGTTTACTCAGACCAATCCCTTGGAAATAAGTTTACCAGAAGTAAGTATAGATTGCTTAATGATATTTTGTTTTATTCATTTGTCAAATATTTATTGAGTATATATTACGTGTGAAATTACCTTAAATATTTAGAATGAGCTGGGATATAATCTGATAGCTGCATTTATTGAGCAGTAACTCAGTGCCGGGCATCACACTAAGCATGCCACATGATGTCATATAATCCTTGCAACAGTCCTATGAGGTAGAGGCACTATTATCCCCAACTTAAACGGGAGAAATTAAAGTACAGAGAGTTTAAGCAGCTTGCCTAAGGTTATACAACCAGTAATTGCTTGGAATTAGGATTTGAATCCAGGCTGTCTCACTCAAGAGACCATATTTTAAGTCATTGCGGTAAAAATGATGTAATGATTGAGCTCTATTGGAGAGCAGTTAGATTTAGAGTTGCAGTTAGAGAGAATTTTTATATTAGATGCTGAGGTCAGTATTGCAGGCAAAAATTTCTTACATTCAAACTTCCTCAAAAAAATCTTGTAGGGAGTTAGCACATTGGAGACTAACATAACTTTCACCCAGCCAGTTTTTCTTTAGCACTGGGATAGAATTACTTTTCCTTTGAGTAGTAGGTGAAGCATTTGATTTGTTATTCAGAGCCATGTTGGAAAAGAAATATGTATAACACAGGAATCATAGTGTGGTGAGGTGCTCATAGTGAGAGGTACTATG